TCCAACATGTCTACAGTTGCAGTAATAGATGGAGGTATGGTTTTGTGGTGTATTTATATAATAATATTGTTCCTTTTTATGGCTTTCCATCATCATGTAGGTGAGAGGATTTCACCGTCTTGTAGTTTGACACTTCATCGAGATCGGAAATTCTCTTTCTGCATATATACCTTTAAGCCATTAGTTTATTTACATGAAGCTGCAGGACTTTGCAGGTTTTCTGTGTGGGAGCATTGTCACACAGGTACAGTGTACAGTACTGCTCAAAGTTGACAGTCACACAGTGCACCGTGTATGTCCCAATTCTCAAGTCTGGAAACTCAATTCTCAGTCCTTAAAGATGTTGAGAATCAAGTCTCAATTTTTGAGACCAATTTTTTTGTGTTTTGAGTTCTGATATATAATGAGCTTGTTGATTAATTGATCTTGGTAATTTATAGATTAAAAATGTAATGAACTGCAGTGAATAACTAGATAATTATATACTTGGTAGTAATCTCTCAAATGAATCCAAATGTATGACATGATTATTTTATAAAACGTTCCCCTTTTTATCTAGCTAAGTTGCTGCTAACTCCAATGAAGCATATGGTTGTGCCTCCACCAATGTCAGCATATGCTGTAGAGCTGCCGTCACCTGCCTCTTGTGTCAGTTTTTCTCCCGCACCCTGCTGTGGTGACATAGCAGTTTTGCTGTCCAGTGGAAGAATAGCATTGTTCAAATTGCTGGCAGAGAATGGCATCAAGGAAGAATTCAAGCCACCTGGGAAGCCACCAAAACTTGTTGGTATTTACAGGTACAGTGAATTAGAGATCCTTGCAAACTCAAAGAACCATAGGCTATGTTTACACATTTTGCCTGAACGTGGTGTGTAAGTACGATTCTTGCTGGGCACTAAATAAATGTGAACACCTTTTTTCTGAGTACTCACACCAAAATTCAGGCAGAGTGCCCGTGTCTAGGTACAAGGTCTTGACCTTGTATTTGGGCACCAAATGGTACTTGGGTGCTTGGACTATCCAGTGTCTGAATCGAATGCAACATTATTTTGTCAATGCCAGTGCCCAGGCACCAGTGTTTGGGTACCAAGTGTGAACACAGCCTTAGATCCTGGAACATACTGAAAAACTTGCTTGTCACGATAACAATATGCCTTTTCTGTTAGAAAGTGGCAAAATGGAAGAGGCAGTTGTTTAATTCTAGAATAATTTTTTGCCATCCTTGTACCTGTTACATACCCAGTTACTACCTAGCCAACAGAGAAGCAATACAGTACATGTCAATGGTGGATCCAGGCCTCTCTATAAGGTTGGGATTCACATATTTTTCCAACCCTTGGGGCCTTAAACAGGGTGCAAAGAAAACCCTTTTCAGGCTTGTCCTTTGGGCGAGCTGTAACACAAGTGTACTAGCCCAAAAGTCATTCTTACTAGCTCCAGAAAATTCATCTCTTACAGTGCTTCTGTAAGAGATGAATTCCTTGAAAAGTTTCTGATGAAATTTCACTTACCCTTCAGGTAAGTGGAGGAGAAAAACCACCAGCCTGACTGTGAAATCTGACACCCGCCCAGGGCCATTGGACATGACTTTCTTTGTACGCTGCTTAAATTAAGGTCAGGGCCTGAAAAACTTTTTGGCCCTCTCATTAAAGTCACTTTACCGATAAAGGGATAGAGGAAAATCCCTTATAAAAACCACTATTGTGGTCCACTTTAGTCGATACAAAGAAATAGCTGATTTTCCAGGTTGCTTTTTTTTTTCTTTTTTTTTTTTAAATTTCATTATGTCTCCCTCTGTAGTATTTATTTCATTTGACAAAAAAGTAGCCATAGATTTCTGCTAATTTTTTTCTCAGTTATTGAGGATATTGTTCTCATTGAAATTATGAAATAAAAAGTGGGGAAAAGGAGCATTTACTTCGCTATCAAGCTTAGTTTGAGGGAAATCTCTTACGTTTTATACGCGCATGTGCTCACGTTCACACGCTAATGACACGAAAATCGTGCACAGTAGGGATGCGCAATGCAATACTGAGGAATCACCTTAAGTAAACTCCAATTATAGAAAACTTCTACAATTGTGGACAAAAGTCCTTGGGACACTTATGTAATTTAACGAGTTATCTGAGTGTGTTTTACTACTGAAGTTTGAAAAAAGTGCTGCTTTCCTTTTAAAAACGCGTTACTGTTCCCCCTTCCCACCCAATACAATGTTGATAATCAGGAGAAATTGCAGCTACATGTAGTAGTTTTCAACATTGTATGGGGGGTGGGGGGTGAGGTTAGGCTGGTGAAGTAGTATATGTGTCTGGTGTGTGCGTAAAAGCACCAAAAGTGCAAATTTGTCCCCAGACTTTTGTCCATGATTGTAGTTGTATTACTCTCCATACAGGTTGTAAGCACAGTTTCACTAATAACTGAGGGCTACTTGCCTGAAGATGGTAGTGGTCACATTATAGCAATACAGCATTTGCCAGATGTGGACTCAGTATGTGCAGCGATTGATAAAGGAGATGTAATTCTTTGGAATACATTAACTGATCAGGCAAGAGCTTTTTATGTGTGATAAATTGATAGTACTACTGTATAAACCTTTAAAACATCTCTCAATCTAGGCTAGCTAAAAACTTTTGACCTTCAGGGAAGCATTTGTCATATTTAGTAGCACTTAGTTAAAAATAGTAGCAGTCAGTGTACTAGACTCCAGGTCTAACGGTCTCAATTTTAACAATGGTGTAGGTCTCTGTGTCAAGTACTTGGGGAAGAATCCCTTCTCTGATTGTTCTCTCCAACCAGACACTCTTTTACATGCAAATGAACATGTGCAAACTACATTTACTAAGACGGGAATACTATGTACTAAGGAAATAACAGGTGGTCGTCAGCTATCGTCCAACATTGTCATCTCTCAACACAAGTACATGTATGTGCTGCTTAAGATGAGAATCTTGCCTTATGAGAAATGATTCTGGTCTCATAGTAGGGTGGTAACTTGCTTTTAAAGGAGCTATGTCACAGTTTGTACATCTTGAGAGGTTTTTTTTAACGTCAAGGTAATTTTGTGTGCTGAAATGCTGTGACTGAGCTCCTTTAAGCAGTTCTTTAGCTCTCACAAACCTACATGTACATGTATTATGGTTAGTTTCATCTTCTATGGTCTGAGTGACAATTCTTCTTTGTTTATGTGTTAGATTGAATGTGTTGGTAGTGTGGACAGTGGATTGAGATGTATGGCATGGAGTCCAGACCAAGAACTTGTAGTTTTCATGACAGGTTTGGGCAGAATTCTTGAACTATAATTACTACTCCGAGAAAAAATTCATGAGAAACCTGGAAATGTAGTTCTTCTTATTTAAATGAAACCTGAGTTAGATTTGGTTTAAGGCTAAATCGAGGTTTACACGAGAACTCCAAAAACATTTTAAAGCCTTCAAATGTGCTATATTTGAACACAGATGAATGAGAGTTCACAAAGACCATGTTTTAGTTTAGACATCATCTAGAAAGCAGGGCTATTGTTGTGACACCATGCATGCGTGCTACCCCCAAAGAAAAACCATTGTGGTGCTGAACACTTGTTTTTAGTTTTGATTCGTTTATTGGATTGTCTTGGAATTTGTGATTGGCCATACAGTGTAGGTCTGGACTGCTCCTGTTTCTTTTTTTCAGGGGAAGAAACAGTGATCATGATGACAAAGGATTTTGATCCCATTTTGGAGTTTCCTTGCCACTCTGAGGAGTTTGGTGAAGGTGTGTTTAGTGTCTACTTGTAAACACTGCATGCAGTTTCACTTTGAAACCTTTCTTTTTCAACCTTAGCCTTCCTTGTAAATCGTGTGTACTCAGGTTTGCAAAATGTGTCAATTGTTTTCTTGGCAGAGAAGCCAATTACAGTTGGCTGGGGAAAGAAAGAAACCCAGTTTCATGGCTCAGTAGGCAAACCAACAGCTGTTAATGTGCAAGAAATCGTAAGTAGTGCAGAATGTACATGTATATACAGTGTATGTAGGTATCACACCCTTCCCTGGACTTTTTATTAAATTTACAAGATGTTGTGAGAAATTGGATTTAATGATTTCTGTATTTTCCTTGTCAAGCTCATTTGACTCCTTTGGGTATGGACAAAATATAACTCTCCTACAAGTAATTACATGATGTTGTTATTTGCAACACTTTGGGATGCTTCTTGAACTTGTTGTACACAGTAGATACATTCATGTACGTACATATGTAGTACAGGTTTATTGAATGGCATCCCACAGAGGTCTGTATCGGGGTGTTATTAGTTGGGTTTTCATTTTTCGACAAGTTTTTGTTACTCAATACAGAACAAACAGGCTAGTTCAATAATAAAAGTATTTATTGAAAATGGCTCTTTCAAAAATCAATCTGTTCTCAAGAAACCTGTGCGGTGATGTTTAGAATCTGTTTCACCGTTTTTCAGGTCACTTTCCTGAAAGCTAAAAAAACTCATTCAACTTGTCCACAAAATATGAAGGAGAAGAGATGTTAAAAACTAATTTGCGAGACGTTCTGACCTCTAATTGGTGTGTATTGAAAGATTTGATGTACTTTGGATTGGCTTCTCAAGTAGTATTATTCTTTTCATTGTAGACCAGTACATCACTAGAACAATTTATATGCCTGCAAGCAACAAAGACAACAAAAACCTGATTCTAAGGCTAGATGTCTGGTTACAATGTAGGACATAGTCATATAAATTATTAAACTGTATAATGTTGTTTTAAACTCTGAAGTTTTTTCTTGAACTGAGGAATGATTAAACTTATACAGTGTATCTTATCACAGATTGCAAGACCTGCAGCTAGCTGGGATGACAAGGTGCCAAGGATAAGTTGGCGTGGTGATGGACAGTTTTTTGTTGTTAGTACAATCCATCCTCAAACTGGTATGTCAATATGCTTAGGCCTCATTATTAATTAATGACTGCTTTGGAAAACCTAAACAAGATCTTGAAAGGTCTTCAAAAAAGGCATTAATATCCTGAAAGATACAGTACGTACAGTTATTACAGATATGTATGTCTACTGTAAGACTGTTTATCAATGATGAGGATGATACAAAAATCTCAGCAAAGATCTTTGCTGTGTTCATCTGAGTCAACTAAGAATTGGAATAACACTCTGGCTGTTAAAACATTTTGTATTTACTCTTTCCTCTCTTTTCTTGTATTTCAATATAAGTTTTCTTTCTTTAATTAGTTCAGTTGGTGTTGAACTGGAACTACAATGGGTGACAAAAGTGTGGAGACTTTGGCGGTAAAATTTGTTCTCAAGCATCTGGGAACAATTCCCCCCTTCCCCCCAAATGATGTTGATTTTTCTGTTTCTTAGACTGCACAGACCACAGAACATAAACAACACTGAATTGGGGGACTGGGGTTATCAGAGAATTAATGCTAGATGCAAATGAAATAGAATAAGTGGTCGTAAAGCGTGGTTTTCTAAATATGTCTCAACTACTTTTGTTGCCCATTGTAGTTTGCAACTGAGGCTAATGCACTGGGAGTATTTTCAAATGCAAATGACATTAATCTCTTTTTCATGGTATTCCCCCGCAGCCTCAATCAATCAAATAAAAAATAAATTAAAATATGTTTTTAGGTGCACGAACATTGCGGGTGTGGAGCAGAGAAGGGGTGCTCAGTTCTACCAGTGAAAATGTTGATGGCTTGGAGCAGGCTTTATTCTGGAAGTAAGGGCAAAGCTTCAGAGGTTATGTTTACTTTCTATCACATTCTTGTGTTATTCATGTACTGAACTTAAATTTCCCTTCTTTTTTCTTACTTTTTATTTAGGCCATCTGGTAGCTTAATAGCTTCAACCCAGCGTAAGCCACATAGACACGAAGTGGTTTTCTTTGAGAGGAATGGGCTTAGACATGGAGAGTTTATACTGCCCTTTGGCAAGATGGAAACAAAAGTAAGTGACAACTGTTTTCAATGCATGGTTCACAGAATATTACAACCTTTAAAGGGGCTCTATCATATCTTGAAAAACAATTATTTTAATTGAGAGAAGTCTAACAATAATGGTCCAGTGCTGCTAAAAACTACTAACTGTTAATGGGTAACTGCACTGGTCAGGAGCTAAAAATGGTGGGGGAGATGGGGAAGGAGGCAGGAGAGTAAAGAATGGGAAGCAGTAGTTCTAACAGGGCTGGAAGCCCAAGAGAACTTATGCAATTTATTAAACAAATTGCATAATTTTTATGATACTTTCCAAAACATGAACCTGACATATTATTCAACTTGCATTGAAAAACTCATGCTTGGGCTAACAAACAAGCTTACTAGCTTCTGCATTAGAATTGTGCAGCTATAGTACATGACTAGGATGTGTTTTGAGTCTGCTATTTGCAGGGGATGGGAGTAGGACAGAAAAGGGTGGGAGTTTGGAATTAAAGGTACAGGAAGTGGAAAGCAGGTTACCTGTTTGGGAAGTAGGACGTTGTTGTTGTTGTGTACTTGAGGAAGACACTTTACTCTAACAAAGCCAGTCTGGGTTTGAGCTCTAGCTAAGGTCATTGCATTGTGTTCTTGGGCAAGACACTTTACATAATTCATGTATGCACACTGTGTGTACTACATGTAACTAGTACATGTTATGTCCTTCAGTGTAAATGTGCTCACATAGCATACCGACAAGTTTTTAAGTTGTACCTAGAACATATTGCCTTCCAAGTGTTGATATTTGGGTATTTTTTTATGTGTAGGTAGTGGAAGTGGCATGGAATAGTGATTCATGTGTGCTAGCTTTGTGGGCTGAAGAGTTACCAAGCCAAGAAATACCACAGTCACAAGAATTTCTCCCAAAGTCTTATGGTATGTGTTGTCAACAAACTATATAATTCATTAGTATCACCCAACTAGTGGACTAATGCAAATCCTGCATTTTGATTGGCTACG